ATGCCACCTGACTGACCCTAGCATGATTTTTTGCATTTAGAAATATGAATTTACAATGCTTGAAATGTACTAAGCAGATCACTTAAAAAAAAATCTGGACTATCTGCTGACCCATGGATATGCTAAGCATTTTCTTCACTACAAGAAGTTACCTGTGCTAATTGTTATACTTCTCTTGTATTAACACCTTTTTAAAAAAGTTTTAAATTTACTTGTTTTACATTCATTCTCTATATGTCATTGCAGCATACAAATGAGTTTTCCCATCCAGAAAACACCATGTATTGGTTCAATCAAAGATATTACCATACATGTTATCTTCAAAAAATAAGTTTTCATTTTTCATTTCTTATATATTTTACTTCTTTTTTTTTTCCTTCTTGATTCCCTCCTTCTCCCCCTCTGCCATTTCCCACCCTTCTCCCACACTGTCTCTGGTATCTACAGTTGCTTTCCATGTGTTCTTTTCATTTTTGCTTTCGTTTTTAATTTTATTGATTCACAAAGGATCGTAATTAAATACTTTCAATAGTAAGTGTAGTTGATATAAACACATCTGTGAACACATGTCTGACTTTAGGCATAAAGCTGACACCTTGCTTTTTCCACCTCCTTTGAAATCTTACACATCCTTCATGACCTAATCTAGGAAAGCTTCCGTGATTTCACAGCTGAAGTGCTATCTTCCTTTGTCAACTGCATATACCATCTCATTTGTTACATTTTTATATGATTTCACGTTACTTATATCTATATATTTAAGTTAGAAAATTAGACTGCAGACCATTTTTTATCCTCTGAAATCCTCAATAAATATTTAAGGAGTCAGTAAATGTGCCCAGAATAATGAGTGACTCAAGTCCATAAAAGAAGACGCACTACTTTGAAGATACATTTAAACTTCGCTAGCGACATTAGTTGTGTTACATTACGTATCATTATCAAAAAGTGTAAATACTAAGTATTTTGCAAATATTTTGAAAGCACTTCCTACTAAAAATTGGCTAATTACATTATATTTTTCTGTATTACATTCTTCATTGTTTTAAATGTTTTCAGTTCCGTTTACTTATAATTTGGCACCATTAAAAACTAGTATGGGGGGACCAGCAGTTAACATAATAGCTATGTCGCTGGACTCCCATGTACTCAACCATGGTTTGAGTCACGGACCAGGTGGCTTAAACTCAACGACGGGCGCATGTGCATGCATGTCCAAGATCCCAAGAGGAGAATGGAGGAGAAGGGACTGTGGTGTGCCCATCTCTCCTGGGAGGTGATTTCTCTTTCTGTCTCTCTGTCTTTCTGGTGAGTGCATACGCCCTATAGCAAAAACCTCTAAGAGAGAAAAAAAAAAAACAGTATGGAGAAGCCTGCCTGTGGTGTCATGGTTAAAGTGACAAGTGACCAGATCTCACATGGCCAACAGTATGGTTTCAGTCCCAACCTGGCAGCTTGATAAACATGCCAGGTGCATATGCTTGAATGTGCAAGATATAGAAAGGAAAGAACAATGTAGAAGGAATTGCACTGCTGACTGTCATTAGGGTACTTTCTCACTTTCCCTCACTGTCAGTTAGTGTTCGTGCTCTCTGACAAAATTTAACAAATACATATATTATGAAAAAGTCATTCTCAAATCGAATAACTTTTAAATTGCATGCCCAATTGTTGAAATAAATTTCAGAATATATGCCCATCCTGATTTTTAAAATGTATCTTTCACAGTTTGGGGGGGGAAGCAACTCTTAAGAGGAGACACTTAGCCAAACTAATGAAATATAGAGACTTGTATTAGTTGCTAAATTTATTTGCCCTTAAAATTTTTTTATAATTCTCTAGAGAATTATAACCATATTTTATTCATGTTTTTTTATTTTAATTTGAAAATGTTAGTACTAAATATAGTCATAACAAAAACAAAAAACAGTGGATATAAAATAAGAGATCAATCTTAAGTTCTGATTTTTAGCCATATCTATAAAACCAAAAAGGAGTAAACTAAAACAATCTACTAACAATGACAAAAGTTGATACCCACCTTAAGACTTCTGAAATAATTAGTTAGATGTCAAGCATTCATGCTGAAGTTGTGTAGAATGTCTAAGGTTTAGCTTGAGAATGACTAATTCAATACTTACCTATGAATCCAATTCTAACCAACCTTCCTCATTTTAACCCTCATTGTGTAATTACTAGTATTTACCTTGCTTTATGAAGTGAGTTCCAAATAATGTTTCCAGGAAAAAATTCTTTTTTTCCCTGTTTTGACTGCCAAGAGTCATGAAAGTAATTATTTTTAACATCTTGTCTTGGAACTACTCTGAGGTATAATGTTTTGTTTAAAAGTTTATAAATGGGTATATTTTTGCTAGGATACACACAAAAATTGAATATTGAAAAGCCAACCTTCTATTATAAATAGGTAAATCGTTGATCTGAGATTATAGCCAAGAAGTCTTGCATTTCAAATGATTTATTGTCATTTATTTTGATCAGTACTATAAAATGGAAATTTGAGAGCTACATATGTAAATTCCTGTTGCGAAGTGGCCATAAGTAAAAAGAAATAGATGAAACTAAGCTTAGTGATAAATTTTATTAACACAGTATATCCAAAATATTATTATTCCAACACATAACCAAGATAAAAATCATTAATGGGAGACCAGCAGATGTCATAGAGTTTATGTCGCTGGACTCCCACGTGGCTGACCATGGTTCTAGTCCTGAACCTGGTGTTTGAAAATCACACCAGGCAAGTGTGCAATGTGTACCCAAGATCCCTGAAGGAGAATAGAGAAGAAGGGATTGCAGCATGGCCATCCTCCTTGGGGGGTGATTTCTCACTTTCCCTCTCACCGTCTCTTGTCTTTCTCTCTCCCAGGCACATATACAAGCACAATGGCAAAAATAAATAAATAAATAAAAACCATTGGTACATATACAAGCCCTATGGCAAAAATAAATAAATAAATAAAAACCACTTAAAATTATTTGTGGGATATTTTGCATTTCTTTTCCAATCTTGAGTGAGTCTTTTCACATGTGAAGCACATCTCAATTCTAGCTAGCCACATGAAACCATGTGTGACTGATGGCTACTGTATCAGTTTTAGATACCTCTTAAAGATCAAACGTTAATTTGATTGGACTCAGTGTACATTGGTTTGATAGTATACCTTGAATACAAGCAAGCAAACCAAAAAACCCTTGAATTTATGTTTGCTCATCTGAGAACATTTTCTCCCTAGCTTGCCAAAGTTCAAAGGAAAAAAAAAATTCAGGAAAACTTCTCTAGTTGATTTTTACTGCCATGGGTGATGGTGCAAAAAATGTTGAATTTGAAGCAGCAAAGGGCTGTAGAGATCAAAGTCGACACTTTCAATTACAGACTTTATGTCATATGTTTGAGGCTCTTTACAAACCATAAGTCATTGCATTTTGCACTACTTGAAATTCTTGAGTAGTTTTCAAGAGGAGCCCTTAGTGGAGAACACTGATTGGCACTAGTTAATCTAGAGGCTACACAGGCGTGAATGATTTTAGAAAGTGCACTGAATAGTGTTTTATAATAGTCAATATGTATCATTACCAGAGCTGGAGCCAGAAGGTTGAAAAGTTTTTATCCATCAGTTCATATAAAATGTGGTACTTTAATTTTAAAAGATCAGTAATAAAACATAACATGTTAACATGAATATTAAGAATTTGAATTCCTAAGAATATTAAATAAGAACCTATAATATGGGAAATAAATCTAAAATACTTATATCATAGATGTCTATATGTGGCATTTCTGGTGCTTATGCTCACAGCATGTGTTTTATAGCGTTACGAACAATGATTCTAAATAGTGCTGTGTGTCAGAGAACTGACTCTTCACTTGATAATCATTTATTAGTGGTCCAAAATATCACCAAACTAAAAACAGAAACTACCTTACAAAGTGATGAAATGCAATGCTCATCTAATAAGGACGACATTCAAGTACATCGATAAATGCTTTATATTTTTAGCCACAATCAAATCTAATTATATCATTGCTGATTGGGATAGATGTGGAAGATAGTATTTAGCTATTATTGAAATCCAAGTGGGATTTAGAGAATATATTTTAACAGTTTGCAGATTGGTGAAAGCAGCTGTTAGATGCTTTTCACAGTTTGGATTTATACCATGTTAATATAGTTATATTGTCTTTGCAGTCAGTATTTGTTGCTATGCTTCAAATATAATGAAAACTTAAAATATAGAGGGGAGGCAACTGGTAACATGGTGGTTAAGGCAGCTGGATTCCACATGGCTGACTTTGCAATTCAAGTCCTGGACCCAGTGACTTGAAAAACATGCGAGACACATCTGCATGTGTATCCAAAATCCTTAGAGGAGAGTGGAGGAGAAAGAATCACAGTGTGACCAGCTCCCCTGGGGGGGGGGGTGTTTTCTCACTATCTCCCTTTCTCTCTCTGGTTAGCACATGTGCTCTATATATACGTACATACATAAACATAACATGGAAGAACTAGAGACTGTTATAGAGCTTACATTTAACTTTTTTTTTTTTTTGGAGAGGTTTTTGCTATAGGGCATGAGCACTCGCCAGACAGACAGAGAGACAGAGAGACAGAGAAAGCCAGAAATTGCCCCCCAGAGGGGATGGCCATGTCACAATCCCTTCTCCTCCCTTCTCTTGGGATCTTGGGCATGCACAAACACGCACTCGGCATCCCGTCCGGGTCCGGAACACGAACCGCAGTCGACTACGTGAGAGTCCAGTGACATAGCCATTACGCTAACTGCTGGTCCCAACATTTTCCAAATATGTTGACTTGGACCTTCTTAGGGTTATTCTAATATATTCAAAATATTAAGAATAAGAGTATTTTTTAAAGTAAAAAAGAAGGGAGAGATTTTGATCAGCTATATCAGGATATATAATGCATTATTTAGCAATAAAAACATGATGATATCCTGTCTGTGAAGAAAATGATAGACTGATACTTACAATGGCACAGGAAACACCATGATCACATAGGTGGTTTTCCCAGGGCAAGGCCCACCCATTGCACTGCGGGTGTGCTGACCTCTGCAATTTCCTCAAATGCAGGAAACTCATCCACACGATTTGTGGTAGTGGAAGCCTGTGTCCATGCTCTCTCCTGGTTAAAAAAAAAAAAAGAAAAGATAATTATAAAAAAAGAAAATGATAGATTGATATGGTAAAATAATACTGATGCTGAACATAATACATGTTTGAGTGTAAATATGATTTTAAATAATCAAAAGCAAACCAGAGTGGGACCAGCAGTTAGCGTAATGGCTATGTTGCTGGACTCCCACATAGTCGACTGCAGTTCGAGTCCCGGACCCGGTGGCCTAAACTCACACCCGGCACCTGTGCG